AACAGGACAAAACCAGTCAACTTGACTAAACCAACAGGACACCCAAGACAGGTGTTTACCATGGGACTGTCCTTAGGGAAAGCAAGATGTGTGGTCACCATTAGCACTGGCCCACTGGCTGGGACAAGCTGTTCACTGACAAAGGTGATGCAAATACATTTTTTCCTCCACTGAAAAATGCTGCAGCATTTAATAACCCTGCTGATTCTAAGGATGAACCTAAACCATGCCAAAGAGAGAGAGGAAAGAGATTGGAAACTGAGGGGGGACAGACACTTCAAGGGAAGCATAAAGGGGAGAGGGTCCAACATACTGTTTTACAAAAGAAGATGCCCCTTTCTAAGAAGAAACATCATCCTCAAAGGCTTGTGAAACAGAGGTGCAACATGGAGTTTCTGGGTGGTAGCAGCTGGGCTGGCAGCACTGGCTATTCTTGTGCCCTTTCAAAATAAGCATCCAGGGCTGATTTCCCAGTTGCCACCCCTAGTTATGTAATGTTGCGGGAGCTGTTTTGTGGGGGATGTGCATACAATCTAAGGGGTTGGGACATGGCTTGAAGTCCCAGCTAGGGGTGGACTTTGCTCTTCCATGCCCTGTCCTTGGGAAGGAAAGGCGAGTCCTCCTGACTTGCATCCTGTCTGGGGCTCTGCAGAGACATCAAGATAAATGCTCACATGGTCAGGGAGGTTCTGGGGTGAGGGGGAACTGCATCCCCACTGACATGTCTCAGTCAGGCACTGACTATTCCTATCCATGGTTCTTGTACAGAGTGTTTTATCCATGGGCCTCAGCATTGGCGACGTGTAGGGGGTGCACACAGGTGCACATGTACCCCCTGAGTGTGGAGGTGCACCCCCTACGAAAAGGCACTGCTGACACTGTCTGTGGGTGGTCGCCTGCAGGTGGTCACTGACACCTGGTTGGCGCTCGCTACCCCCTCCCCTGCCACCGACAGCACCGGCAGCATCTGTGGGAGTTACCTGCTTACTGCTGTCATGCTCCCACTGCCACTGTGCTCCCGCCACCGCTGTGCCCCCCCAGCCACTGGGGGCATGCGCTGTTCATGGGCCTCAGTGAGTTTGCTCCTGGGCCAAGTGTACTGATCTCTCTATGGACAGAATGAGGAGCTGAGCCCCAGAGAGGTGATGTTACCTGCCTACAGTCACCATTAGGCCAGTGGTTCCCAGTCCAGTGCTCCCTCCACTGGGTCACACTGCTTTCTCTTCAGGCCCCTATTTTGCACAAGAAGAAGCCCTCTGTCTGTACATGCATCAGTACATGTGCCATGACCAGGCAGGGGAGGAGTTGTGTGCATGCGGACTGCCCTGTGCTCCTGCCCACCCCATGTCCCATCCCACCTCACCTTGTTTCTAGCCAGCTTGTCAGAGCCCACATCCCGCACAGGCTCCTGGTCTGGGGAGCCATCGTTCTCCTTCTCTGAGGCCACCTTGTTGTCCAGCTCCTTCTCCTTCTCCTCCTCGCCCTCCCCTTTCAACCGTGCCACCTCCTTGCCAAGCTGCTCATTCTCATTGAGCACCTCCTGCCGCTCCCGCTTGAGGCTGGTCAGCTCCTTGGTCAGGGTCTCCAGCTTCTGCCGCAGCTGGCGCACCTCCTCCCGGGCCTTGTTGCGCTCTGCCCGCACCTTGCTCCACTTTTCCCGCCAGTTAGCCGTGCAGTCTGACCACCAGCGCATGGTCTTCTCCATCTGGGCTGCGCGAGCCCGTGCCTCCTCCAGCTCCCTCAGCCGCAGCTCCTCCCGGCTCTCCCAGTCACTGTCCAGGCACACGGCGCCCAAGAGGGGGAGCTGGGGCGGCCCCGGTGAGGGTGTGCCACTCTTTGGGGTAGGGGGCATGGAGTCCGGCAGGCTCATCCTCTCAGGTTGGGGGCTGCCCAGGATGTTGAGGAGACTGCTCTTGGAGAGCTGAGGTGAGTCCGCTAGCCGAGAACTGGTGCTTTGGCTCATGGCGGCCCAGGGTCAAGCTCGATGTCAGATCTGGTGTAGCAATAGCTTCTCTTACGTTGGCCCTTGGTCATGGGGTGGCGAATTCAGGACCCAGACCCACTGCGTGTGGACAGGCACAGAGAACTGCCACAGCACTAGATGTGAGGAATCACTACCTGTCCCTGGTCAGAGACAGGCCAGACATGATGAGCTAAGCAGCTGTTCCCTTTTCAAAAGAAGCCTCAGATGAAGGAGAGCTGAGGTGATCCAGCAGGTCCCAGTGTCCCTCACCTGGCCCCTGTCAGACACAGAAGACAGCACTTCAGAAGCAAGGACATTCTCTGGCACCTCCTCATTGGGAGATGGCTAGTGGCTAGGGCCTTTCCATGCCCTTGATCTCAGGTGAGGGTGATGCTCTTCTGACAGAGGTGGTATCTCATATATGTCACAGCCAGACACAGTCCGGAGAGAGGGTGACCTGGAGACCTGAAAGGAGGACAAAGGTGTGAGGTACAAGCTTATGACTATCCCTCAACCCAACCCAGGACTCTACACAACAGACCTCAAACTTGGTGGAAACTGCCCCATCATGCCCAGGTCTGGCTGGCAGGGTACTTACAGACAGGGGAGAGAGGCCAACCACCCAGAGCTCTCTCATATCTTGCTATGTATCATAGGCAATAAAATGCCTTTTTAGAGACACGTTATGGTCCTCCCATTATTTTGGGCATTGCAAAGAGCCGCTGGGAAACAATACTGTGAAAACCTGCAGCATAGGCAGTAAAAAGTGACTGTTTTGGTTCTGATTCTTGATGGCTCAGTAAGGCCTCAGACCAAGACTGTTAAAAAGAACCAGTGATATTGGGTGTCCAAACTGAGACACTTTAGAGGACTGATCTTCAGCACTTGGATTATCAGAGGGCAGGATTTATGGAACATTAGGCCCCTTCCTCAGGGCAGGCTTCCAAAATCACCAGTCAGTCAAATTTACTTGGAGTTAGAAGAATTTGGCACCTCCAAAACCAGACCCCCATGTCTCAGACTAGATGCCCAAGTGAAGCATGTAACTGGTAGGCATCCCAGTAGGTGCAACCACTAGCAGCATAGTGACACAGCTAGGTGCCCAAGGCACAGGGACAGCAGCAATTTCCGGTTGCTACCAAGAACAGCCATTTTTTGGCCCCCCTCTCCACAAGTCAGCAACTGAGACAGTTTCCACACCCTAGTTATGCCACTGGGAAAAAACCCTTGGATGACTACATCATCTGTTGTAGGAAGAAAGCTAACTACAAACTTCCTATCTCTACCACAACATGGAGGATAACAACCGGTAGCCATTTTTTAAAATGTTGGTCTAAATGGTCACAGACCTGTAACAATATAGACAAAAAAACCAGCCTGCTCTATCTTCCCTCTCACTAAAGGAATTGCTGCAGAGTGCAGTGGTTTACAAAGGGGTGAGACACCATGCAGGACAGCATGCTTGTATTTGTTCTCTCCATATTTTCCAGTTGACAGACTAAGGCCCCTGCTACATTTTACATATATTACTATAAGTGGTTAATAGTGGAGTAAATTTAGACCGGTCGCAAATGCAAAGTACTTATCGCACAATTAAGTGGTTAGTGGTGCCATAAACTTAGACCAGACACACATGCATAGTAATCAGCACATGATAAAAAGATTATCCAGTTATGAGCCAACCAGCTATAAAGTTAGTGCTTGAAAATGTGTAACAACTCTCTAACGCATCCTCCCCTAACTGTATTGGCTGTGCAAGGCTACCAAGAGTCAACACTTGATTGTGTAAGAACAGGTGATTTGTAAGCTGTATGGAGAACACAGCAGTTAATACATTGTAAGACTAAAAAGGACCATTATGACTGCTGCATAACACAGGCCACAGAATTTCACTCAGGGATTACTGCAAGGGAGGGAATTAATATTCACTTCCACAGTAAAGAAGAATAATTAGCCCAGCTACTTGTGGGAGAGCTAGTGTGTATCTTTAGAAAAACATCCTCTCTTAAGGTGGAAGCTCCAGGTAAGGGAGAATCTACCAAATCCCTTGGTGAGCAGTTCCACTGGTTGGTTACTCTCACTGTTGCAAGTTTGTGTCATTCCTGATTCCAATTTGTTCAGCAAATAGGTGGTCCCTATTTTCAAGAAGGGGAGGAAGGAGGACCCAAGTAACTATAGGCCTGTAAGCCTCGCCTCAGTGCTTGCGAAGATCTTGGAGAGAATCATCAAGGAGCACATCTGTGGGGGGCCAGCAGGGGAGATCATGCTCAGGGGCAATCAGCATGGGTTCATCAAAGGCAGGTCCTGCCAGACCAACCTGATTGCCTTTTATGACCAAGTAACTAAATCCTTGCATGATGGTGTCACCGTGGACATAGTCTTTCTAGACTTTAAGAAGGCCTTTGACACTGTCTCTCACCCCATTCTCATTAATAAACTGAGTGACTGTGGCATTGATGCCTACAGTTGGATGGGTCAAAAATTGGTGATGGAGTGCACCCAGAGAGTGGTGGTGAACAGGTTGTACTCAACTTGGCAAGATGTAAGCAGTGGGGTACCCCAGGGCTCGGTCGTCGGGCCCACACTGTTTAACATCTTCATCAGCGACTTGGATGAGGGGGTGGAAAGCACGCTGTCCAAGTTTGCTGATGACACTAAAATGTGGGGTGAGGTGGACACACATGAAGGGAGAGAGAGGCTGCAACTAGATTTAGACAGACTACAAAAGTGGGCAGATGAGAATAGGATGGGGTTCAACGTAGACAAATGCAGGGTGCTGCACCTTGGGAGAAGGAATCCACAGCATACATACAGGCTGGGGAGTTC